TGCGTCCACCAGTAGACAGGTCTTTTGTTGGTATTGCTCGATTTTCAGGGCATGGATGCATTGCACAAGCTGTGCAGGAGTTGGACTAGTTATTCGGGAGTGCCGGGTAGATCTGTGATTGTAACCCCATTCATGAATTCCTCCACTCTTTCCAGATTTAACTTCTTTTGGTTCCAAGAAGTGTTCTTACGCGGAGTCTTGTGCTGAGGACCGATTTGGACTTCAAAGTAGGTAGATGAAGTTATGGTCACTCATAGTCTCGCCAGTTTACGATTCTGGAATCGATCTGGCCTTTGGTCAGAGTAAGGTCCACTATGGAGGAAGAATGCCCTCTCTGAAAGGTTGGTTCCTGTCCCGTATTCTGGAGGACCAGGTCTTGAGAGGCCATAAAGTCGATGAGTGTATATAACCTCTACCGTTTGTGAAAAGTATGCCCCAGGCCAGAAAGCTGAAATTGAAGTCACCCGTGATTCTGTAGGTCTATGGAGCTTCCCAAGGCATCCAAGGCTGTTTTAAACTCGTGTGTGCTTGCATTTGGCGAAAAGTAGCAGCTGTACAAAGTGAAATCTTTGAATTCAATTTATACAAAACCATTTTCTGAGCCCGAGCTGTTGAAGGGTAAGTCTCGATTAGTAAACTCTCAGGGCAGCGTCCACTCTTAAGTCAGTACGCCGTCCTCCCTTCGTGATTTCTTTATGGTTTGGTTCCGAGATGGATAGAATGTCGATGTTCCTTTCCCTTGCGGTTGCTTCTGCTAGATTGTGTGCTGCATGGCAGCGATCAAGATTTACTTGCATTATTTTAATAAAGGAGGATGGGATATTAGGCCTGTATTGATCTTCCTTGGAGGTCCTGCAGTTTCTGTAAATGTAAACACTACTGTCTATTTAGCTTGTAGGTCTCCACCAGCTTTCTCCTATGTTGTTCGATTAGTTCTCGGAACTTGGGATACCCTGCGTTGTTCATTCTATGCTCTTTTTCATTACAGCTGAGGCATTGTTGTTTTTCCAACCCAAACTTACCAATACTAACCCAAAGTAACTCAAACTTACCAATACTAACCTAAAGTATCCCAAACTAACCAATGCTAACTCAAAGTACCCCATACTTACCAATACTAACATAAAGTAACTGAAACTTACCAATACTAACCTAAAGTATCCCAAACTAACCAATGCTAACTCAAAGTACCCCATACTTACCAATACTAACATAAAGTAACTCAAACTTACCAATACTAACCCAAAGTAAGTATCCCAAACTTACCAATACTAACCCAAACTTGCTAATACATAGAGCAATAAGTTCTGGTTTCTGATTATTTTTAAGTAAAATTGAGCTAAAAATCCTATTTTTGATTCTTGTTAAGTTGAATCTAAATAAGATAAGTGTGAAAACTCAATTCCTATCTCTTCTACGAGAAAAAAACTCTAATTTCTCACTACTGTAGAGCTAAGCTTGAGCTTAGACGGTTTATAAAAGTTCTCTTTTTTCTATTCCTATCAGATGTGTTCAATTGAATTTGGATATTATTTTGACAAGGGATCACGTTAGAATTTGCCATTAGAAAACCTAAATCTACAATTGTAAATATTATCAGGTCCAACTTCAAGTATGTCTTCAACTGCAGAGTTTCCTACACGGTGGAACAAAAGTCGATAGTAAGATAATGAGTTTGGAGGAAATCTTGTAATATGGTTTGCATGTAGACAGCATACTTTCTTTTGGAATTGTATCTACATGAATGCTAATTAGTTAAAAGAGGCCCATTATATGAAAGAAGTTTGAGGCATGGCAAATCTGATTTGCTCAGGTAGTTGCAGTGCAAATGAAATTCATGTTATTTCATAGTCGAAATAAGAATTCAAGAGGCATAACTTAATTGTTTAAAAGTGCAGAAAAATCAATTTATTCAAATGACAATAATCTGAAACCAAAATTCACCTGTTAAAAAAGGGACAAACATACCTGTATATCCGTAAGAAAAATATCCAGATATTCAATTATTCAAGTAATATCAAGCTCGCGAAAATCGCTATCGCGACCCAAGAAGCAGGTTCACTGCCTTAACATCGAAAAACTGCCGGCCCGTTATTATCGAATTTTGGAATGTGCATTGTGCCTTCGAGTTCTTCTGTCGAAAATATTTCAGCCGCTGATCTTGGTGAGTAATTCGGGCGGACTGACGTTGCACCAAGGGTCCGCACCGAATTCCTGCTGACAAGAATCGATCAGGATTTTCTACAAATAGGAAGAGCTTTCGAAAGTTTATAGTAACACTAATAAGTATATGCGGTTTTTTATTTGTTCAATTAGAAAGGGCTCATTGGTATACAAGGGTAGATATCTTTTAATTTTCCTGCTTTTACACATGACTGTTGGTGGAAGTTGTCTCTGGTTTGAACTAAAGCGCATATCCCTTGTATCCCTCGGGATTTACTGCGCAAGTTGCGATCGATTGCGGTTGCAGGAATAGGAGAAATACACGGGATGCAGCGTAAAGGGAACAAACGGGATCGAATTAAAATAAATGAGGCATTTGCAGGTTACCCTGTTGATAAGCTTTGGCTTGCTAGGATTAAATTTTAACTTACGTGTGAAGTAAACTCAATAAAATATTGAGTTTAGTTCAGAAATTACATTCATAGTTTATTTCCTGAGAAGACATACCTACTTCAAACTAGGAAATGATTGAAGACGAAACATCTTTTTTTTTTTAATGAAAATAACATTAAGATGATCCTACTTCATACACTATGTAACATGAGGAAATTGATTATAAACGTAGGTCAACAGTTTCTCGCTTCTTATATAGTGGAACTACAATAGTTTTATACCTATATATGTTTTTTGTTTCCTAATTTATGTAATGTTTCTTCCAAATGATAGTATTAATCTTGATTTTGCTTGGTTTTTAGAGCATTTATACCAGATATTTGCAGCCTATACAAGGTTTTAACTATGTATTTCTATCTCCCCATCTATTATCCAAAGGAAAAATTGTAGATAAAAGATATAAATGATTGTTTAAAGAATTCTCTAAAAAAAACTGCTAATAATTGAGGCGTCATCTGTGAAGGAAACCCCATTCTTACTACATTGGTTCTAAAGGAATCCGTACGCATGATTACCAATATTATTCCTTGCCATACTGGCGAAGGTAGAAGTATTTATAGCAGGAAGAAGTATTCCTGCAAAATCAATATTATGTCTGTTGATTTTCGAGTTGAAATTAATGATCTTTCAACATTATAATAAAAAGTTCTTAATAAAACGATGAAATTTCAAATTTTTTTTTGTTGAGATTTTGTGTCCTAATGATCCTTTGGGTTCTCCCAAACTCCATACACTGGATTATTCCGAAATTTGGAGCCAGATTCTCTATTAAAAGGCACTCAGAAAAATTGAAAAATTGATAAATCACCCTAAATTGTTATCACGATTTTATCTCAGGAACTACGAGTCCAAATGAGTTGAAATTTTCAAGGATTGTAGTCCCCTACTAGAATAATGGCCATTTGCACGGCTATCACTTAAGGGATATTTAATTTAAGTGGAGTTTTGAATGTGACCTTTGTTTCTACAAGAGTCACATTCAAAGCTCTACTTGGAATAAATATCCCTTAAGCCATAGCGGTGCAAATGGCCGTAAGAATCGCTGAGAATTTTAGCTTGCTATCTATAATAGAAAAAAAATTATGACCTTTCAAAGTTTTCCAAAATCTAAATCATGAGGTAGCTACCTTCTTACTAAAACGATGAAATTTCATTTTTTTTTGTTGTTGAGATTTTGTGTCCTAATGGTCCTTTGGGATCTCTCAAACTCAATACACTAAATTATTCTGAGATTTAGAGCCAGATTCTATGAGAAAAGGCACTCAGAAAAAACACCCCAGATTGCTTAACACGATTTTATTTCTGGAACTATGTCTAAATGAGCTGAAATTTTCAGGGATTGTAGTCTTCTACTTTCTATCTTTGATAGAAAAAAATTTATGAACTTCTTACTGAAACGATGAAATTTCAAATTTTTTATTGTTGAGATTTTGTGTCGTTATGGTCCTCTGGGATCCCCCAAAGTCCATACACTGAATTACTTTGAGATTTGAAGCTAGATTCTATGAAAAAACGCCCTCAGAAAAATTGAAAAATTGATAAATCACCCCAAATTGTTTAACACGATTTTATTTCCGGAACTATAAGTGCAAATGAGCTGAAATTTTCAGAGATTGTAGTCCTCTACTGGAATAAGAATTATGAACTTTCAAAATTTCCCAAAATCTAAATCATAATGTAGCTAACTTTTTATTAAAACGATGGAATTTCAATTTTTTTTTTGTTGAGATTTTGTGTTCTAATGGTCCTTTCTTTTGGGATCGCCCAAACTTCATACACTAAATTATTTTGAGATTTGGAAGAAATCAAAAGGTTTTTCCTTGAAAATGTCGTCACTCAAAGAAGTTTTTTCCGGGCCAGAATCCGCAACTCCTATCCATGATCCTTTGAAAAGTGGCTAGAGCGTTCGACAACCCAAATGGCATACATAGAAATTCGTAATGGCGATTTGCGACATTGAATGCGGTTTTCTCGTTCATCTGTATTTGATGAAATCCCCTGTTATTAATATTAATTGTGAATGTAAGACTAATCATACAAGGTAAAACAAATTTGATTTTAGAGTTAAAATAATTAATGATCTTTCAACATTATAATAAATAAAAACAACTTGTCCTATTTTCTTTATTTTCATCTACAACTTTCAATAATTACCTATTGTTCAAAAGTGGAACTTATTCATACCTGAAAGTGTAGATACTTTCCCATATAGGTACTTACATACATTGAAACTTGGAACCGAAAGTATTTTTCCATGTTGGTGGTTTTTACATAATACCTACTATACTTAAAAAAGCAATAACATAAAACTTTTACTTTAAAACCTACATTGTTTCTTGGGCAAAAATCAATTTGAAAATAATGATTGGGACAAGTTTTATGCGCTTGTAAAACGCTGACTTAATTTATGATTAAACATTTTATGGTGAAATTATACCTGTGCTGTGGTACCGATTTTTATGAAAATTTTGCTTGAGTGTTTTATACCCGGATGTTCTTACTAGGACAATTATTTAAAGAGCTAGCAAATGATGTTAATTAGAAGTTCGTTTTCATCTGAAATGATCAGCAATCATTGATTACCAGTTAAAAGTACTTCATTAATATTTACACAAATAACACATTATAAGGAAGTACCCAACTCCTTTTCAATTTGGAGAGAAGACAAAAGAAGATGAATTAAGGACCTCAAACTAACCGCTGAATTGCACGAGAGATAACTTAGTCAAAATAGACCAAGGTTGGCAGAGGCCTATATTAGAAGACGGATGATAAAAGAAGAAGTATAACAGGAAAAAGAATAAGAAAAAGGAGAATAATGAGATCCTGGGAATGAGATGATCCTGAATCCGGATTCTTCTACAAGTTGTTTATAAGCGAAAAGGTTTGTATCATAGTATATATTTGGCACTCCGGGAAACTCTTTTCAATAGAAAAGAATTCATATTGATTTTTCAAATGAATCAATTTGCTCCAAAAAACAACAAAATATTCGATAAACAACAAGACGACACAATTTTGGGTGAAACCCATCAACGAAAAATCCAATGTCCAACATTTGTAAACAAACAAAAAAACTGGATTTCTTGAAATTACGATTCTCTGAATTGCTTAAGTAACCATATACCTACCTATACCTGATGGCCGAATGGTAGTTTGTATTGAAATTAAAAAAAAAAAAAGACTTCTGTTTACAATAATATACAGAATTATTCTGCAGGAAATAATTTATTCCAAAAAAAAAAATCATGCTTATATGGTTTATTCATCCTTAACATTTTAATTAATTGATACTTGCAAGGTCCAAGATTTTATGCTTATGTTCGTATAATAAAATAAATGTACCATTTACTACCTGTTAGGTATAATGATAAGCCTCTCTCTTCTTGTATTTTCATTCCATCCTTCCTCGGAGAGTTTTATTTTTTCTTATTTGTTTGCATGCAGATGCAAAACAAGATTTCGAAGATGGTCTAGAGACCCCAGTTCACCTACGTCACCACCAATTTATATTCACCATTGTGCATATATATTTAGTTAATGTTGTTTTGGGACGTGCTTTCAATTGAATAAGTTTTGTTAGTTCTACAACGGTTTTACAATAAGATACATCAAACATCATCATCATCAGGTGAGAATTATTTTAATTTTTGAAATTTTGCATGTAGTTAAGTACTGTTCAAGCTCTATTAGTAGGTACCTACTTATGTAGGTTATTATTAAAATATAATAATTATTGCAGATTAATTTATTCAAAGGCCTTGGTCTATAAATCTGAAGATCAACTTCTTAAGGTCATTATTAAAGGAAAACGGCTTAACATTGTTTGCTGAAATAACCGGTAGATTATTGGTTTTATTTCATTCATTGAATGTTTTAAGTTCAGATCCTGATTTATAAAAAGGTAAGCTCCATTGAAATTTAATTTTGGGCCTACTAGAATCATTGATTGAAAAATTATTAATAAAATCAAATTCCTAACAAAGCTTTGATACGGATTTTAACGTTGTATAAAAAAATTAACTTTTCAATCGGGTTGGGATAGGAATTAGCTGCAAATATCAACTCGTGACAATATGAATTTCAATTATTTGGAAAACGGATTTTCATGGCATTTTTTCACTTTGTTTACTGGAGCTTGAACTGTTCTCATGACCTCAGGTTCTTTTAATTATGATGTTGATCTTCGTTGGCATTATTAACTATTAATTGTTTTTCTTCTAGTAAGTAAATGGATAAGAACCAATTGTGGATTGATACGTTCTTGAAGAAGGAAGATGGCAAGAATATCAACCAGTATCTTACAGTATTTATTGGTAAGATTTTTATTCTCAAGAATATCACTCACTTACTTATAAGTAATAATTTCCAGCAACCATCACATTATTTATATCAGGCATCCATCAAGGATGGGCTGGCCCGTCCTTAGTCAAACTCCTTTCGGATGAATACCCAATCCCAGTCACAGAAGAAGAAGCTTCTTATATCACCATCATTGGCCCAGTAGGTCACGTGATTGGTGGGTTTTTATCCTCCTATTTGGCAGATTTTATTGGCAGAAAGGCTACAGTATTATCTATAGGATTGCCTCAGGTAATTTTATCAAATCTTCATCTGCGTATTTAACCTTTTCTTCCACAGCTCGCTTCCTTCATCCTCATCTACTTCTCCTACAAAGGTGTCTACCTCCTTTACATTGCCAGAATCCTAGGAGGCATGGGTGAAGGAGCCTCATTAGCTCTCCTACCATGTTACATTGCAGAAGTAGCCGAACCATCAGTTAGAGGCTCTTTAGGCTCCTTTGTGAACCTACTACTACTATTTGGGCAATTATTTGTAAACTCAGTGGGTTCGTATTTGACAATCCATTCCACTGCAATGGTTTGCTTAGTTTTCCCAATAATATTTTGGATAACCTTTATCTACATGCCTGAAAGTCCTTATTATTGTTTGATGAAAGGTGACACAGAAAGAGCAAGACACGCTTTACAAGTCTTAAGAAGAAAACGTGAGGTGAATCTGGAACTGGAGCAATTATCTGCTGATGTTGCCAGGCAAATGTCTGAGCAAGGCTCGTATAAAGAATTATTCACTATTAAATCAAATATGAAAGCATTTATGATGGTGAGCTTTACAAGAACTTTTCAAGTGTTCACTGGAAGTATTGCCTTAATGTCTTACCAACAAATCATGATAGCTCAATCAACAGATTTATCTCCAGTAATGGGCTCAACAGTATTAATCAGTGCAGGAATTTCAACAGTCATTATAGCGTCTTTTTACATAGACAAATATGGTCGAAAACCTGTTTTTGTAGCTTCAGCTGCTCTGACTGCAATAACTCTATTCGGACAAGCATTATTTTTAACAATCAAAGACTACACTACCATATCTGTTTCAACATACTCCTGGTTGCCTTTACCCATAATGATTTTGAATAATTTAGCTTTTAGAGGCGGCCTGGGAGTAGTCACCAACATTTTCATCAGCGAAATATTTTCAGCCAGCATCAAAGCTAAAGGCATGAGCTTAAGCAGCTTAGTATTTGCTATACTTATGATAGTGAGTACCAAAATGTATCAGTTTACTGCTGACAATATCGGCCTGGCGGTTCCGTTTTACGTGTTTGCGATTTTTACGTTTTTCGGTACCTTGTTCTTTCATTTTGTTTTACCTGAAACCAAAGGGAAGAGTTTAGAGGTGATCCAGCAAGAATTGAAAGGCGAGAGTAATAATAAGTTAACTGAGAGCAGGATTAATTTTATTGAAGAAACATGACTTGAGATGTTCAGTTCTAAAATAAGTTCACATGAAAAGAATCTCCCTGTGATAATTTTTAATGTATTATTTATTTAGTTGGTATAATAGCACTGTAGATCATAAGGTATAATGTAATTTATTTTTTAGGAATTCATGTGGTTTTTATCATACAAAAGATGTTGAATTAAATGATACCTACCTACTAGAAAACATGGTTGTTTTTATTTTTCAGGATTTATTAGTTTAATCTGTAGACTGCTTAAAATAATAATGAGAGAAGCTCATTATTCAATCCTCAGAGAAGGCATATATTTACACAAATCCTATTTATGTAATATTTAACGCTTAAGCTTATGCTCACAAAGATATAGATTTGAACCTAAAAATATACTTTATTTTGGATGCTTTGGCTTCTTTAGAAATCCAGTTGATTTAAAAAAATTTCATGATGCGTTTGAATTTGTTAAATATTTCCCATGCTAAAGATGATGGGAAGCAAGTTACTCAGTATTTGGCTAGTATAAGTGGTAAGTAGGTACCTATTATTTTATACATATAATTCAATACTAAGAGTAATCTGGGAAGAAACTATTTTGACTACAAAATTACATTCAAATCAATGAAACACAGGCTGGCTGTTTATGGTAAACAATAGTCAATAATCATCCATATACTGGATTTTACAAGAATGAATTATGGATATATAGAGGCCGGTATTAGTGAGTAGTTTTCAGTTTTCAGATTGGCTGTGATATGATTTAGATAGTGAATATTGAGTTGTTTGAGTTAATTAGTGAAGTAATTAGTGTCAGAGTGTATAGTAACGTAGAATAAATGTTGTGTTAATTGGACTTTGATTTTGGAATAAATGGACCCCAGATTTAATGTCACGCACCCCAGAGCCTTGACATTGGTGTCAGAAGTGGAATATAATTCGAGGACTGCAAAGTGAAATCCGATTGCAAAATAGTGTGGACAGTGTGGACACTAAGTAAACATTCAGACAGTTAGTCAGTGCAATAAGTGACAATCACAAAAAGAGACTTAACAGATTGTGTAAATTACCCCGGAAGTGACCGTATACCCGATTTTGACTGTGATAGTGATTTTTCAAATAGAATCCAGAAAATTCTATTTGGAACTAGAGAGATATCGAATTTGTGACTTCATTGACATATATGATACATCAATCGTCATTCAAAAAAAAAAGAATTTCGAGGAATTTCAGGAAAATTCTAGAACAATCTGTATATGCCTACTACGAGACAACAAGCACAAATGGAAGTACAAAAAATTGAAGAACTTCTACGCAAAATGTTGGAGCTTCAAGAGACCAAACAACAAGAAGACATTAAACAAATGCAGAACATATTTCAAACCATACAAGGATCTGTCGCTAACCTGGAACAAAAGATTAAGGTAGTTGAAGCCGAAGTTAAAAAATATGTGCAAGAAGTTAAAGACGATATTCAAGAACTTGAAGACAATGTTCAAGAAGTTAAAGACGATGTTCAGCAATTAAGACAAGAAGTTGAGGACCAAATTCACGGAAGACATGCAGGAATGGATGCGTTTATTGATGGACTCAAAGACTCCAAGATCCAAGAAAACCTGAGAATGTCTAAGTTCAGACAAAGTAGCGAAGCATTTTTGTTTGAGCACTGGAACCAATCTTTGGTGCCTCACGACGCAGAATACGAGCAGTATCCATTGAAGACCCAAAGGATAAACAATCATTAAGAGAAGATGGTAGCTTCAAAAATAATATGAGTAAGTTCATGGAGAAACGATTACCAGAAGGAATGTTACCGGTGCCATAAGCTTAGACATAATGCATTATGCAATGGTATTGTAGAGTAAAGATATACTCTTCAATTAAGAATCGTTTCCAATGCTTTTCAAGATCTAGAGATGCCAGCCCTAATAACAGACAGGAATCAACCAGTACGGAGGGGCGGATGCTGGTTAGTGATTATTAGTGATGTGAAATACCCGAGTATTTACCTATACCTCGGAGTAAATACCCAAAATTTATAAATAGGTACCTGGATATTTATAAAAAAGAGAATCACGGCTCGCAGTAAGTTCAACTTTGTAAAATTTAGCTTGTAACTGCTTTTCTTACGATACCTACTTCAATCAACAACCTGAAAAATATACCTAATCATTGTGTGAGTACAACAACAGTACAATGATAACTTTTACTTGAGACTTAATCTGAATCTGAGTAATCTGGCTCTGAGTCTGAGTTGTTTTTATCAATTGAATGGCTTGAAAGTGACATGTGGTCATCTTCATCGTCACAACAAATACTACAATCACTATACGTGAATCAAATCCAAGCGGCCAGTAATGACATTAAATAATAACCTAAATTGTAAAGACAAGCTGACAATCCAGCCTTTCTACTAGGCATTCCAACGACCTGTCAAAAAGTGCGTTGTGGCAAAAGTTCATTATCCCGTATATGAGAGTATGTAATTTAGAGCTTTTTAAAGTGCATTTTGTGGTTGTTTTGTAAATTAACTCTGTTTATTTTTTTATTTTATTGACTTCATTAGTGTTAGTTCCAATTAAAAATGCCACAAACGAGTCTTGAAGTTGATTGTGGGAGTAGATTCAACAAGGTAACAAGGATGATGTCAGGCTTTTTTCATTGCCCTTTGTTTTAAAATCTTCCAATTAAAACGTGAAAATTTTTCACTACCACTGTTCCTGAATCTGAAATAAAGCCATTTTCGAAATATTCGTAAGAATCTAAGCTTTTGTAGGCCGTCATTTGCTCATTAATGTGAACTGTGGATCAAAATATCATCTGGACATTTTTTTAAACTAACCGTTCGCCCAGATCCCGATTTTCCTGCATTCAAGTCTTTAAATATTCACTGTGCATCTCAAAAAGTATATTATAACAAAGTAAACTGTAATTAGCTTGAAACTATTCCAAATAATCTCAAGATAAACAAACAAACGTCAAATTTTCCACGGTCGCCATATTGAAAAATCACGTGGTTTGGAGAGCCTTATTGGTTGAAATGCCCTACCAGGATCAGCGCGCATGCACGGAGGACATTTGATAGGTTGTTATGAAAATGACCAGTGAATGTCATTACTGTCACTTGGATTTGATTCAACTATAGATAGCAGAACAATGCATTCTACGCTGGCTCTGTGTCATTTGCGCGACAGCCGTTTGCGAGAGGGTGAAAAACGCGATACGAAAAGTGCGAGGAAAAATCGCGACGGAACAAAAACGCGACAGGACAAAAGCTTGATGGACAAAAATGTCTGGATGATGATGGACAGAAATGTCTGAATAAAACGGCAAAGTAATCGCGTTATTATGGGTAAGTTTGGAAATGTCTGATTAAGATTGAAAACTAACCGGGTTAGTATCGGTAAGTTTGGAAATGTCTGATTGAAGTTGCAAACTAAGTGGTTATTATTGGTAAGTGCGGAAATGTCTGATAAAAATTGCAAACTTACCAGGTTATTATGGGTAGGTTTGAAAATGTCTGATTAAAATTGCAAATTGATCGGGTTACTATCGGTAAGTTTGATATTGTCTTTAAGCCTATTTGCATTTTTATCCCTCAAGTTTTTTTCCCTCGCGCTTTTATCCAGTCGCGTTTTTGTCCATCGCGCTTTTGTTCAGTCGCGCTTTTGTCCCTCGCTTTTTTTTCTCGTCGCGCTTTTGTCCATCGTACTTTTGCTCCTCGCACTTTTTTCCATCGCGTTTTATTCCAGTCACGTTTTTATTCCGTCCCGCTTTGTCCCTCGCGCTTTTGTTCCGTGGCGCTTTTGTTCCTCGCGTTTTGTCCATCGCGCTTTCGTCCAGTCGCGTTTTTGTTCCGTCGCGTTATTGTCCCTCGCGCTTTTCGTATCGCGCTTTTCTCCCTCGCGCAAACGGCTGTCGCGCAAATGACACAGAGCCTTTTACGCTACCGTATTCTGTGCAAGACTAATTGGTTGACAATTGACGTTTACTCTATTGTTTATTTGTCAAGTGTAATCGACTGGTCAAACGCTTGAAATTCTTTATCACAATGGCGTTTTCGGTTGGTGGGATTAGTGCAAAGGAAATCTATCTTTTTAAACAGGCTGAAAGAAAGAGATGGAAATCCACTCAGTGCGCATGTACCAATCGGATACGCCATATTAAGTAGAGTTCGGTTAATGCTCCTCGAGCAAAAAGATGTGACCAGTTTTGTAACTCTAAATGAAAGATCACGTGACCTTCTGTCAACAATGTCATCTTTAAGCTCGCGGAGGATTAACCGAACGCGTCTTAAGTTACCCAGAAAATACACTACATACATAAAACGTTAATTTTATGTCATATTTACGTCCGTACGTCCATATGACCTATTCAGAACATTCAGAACGTACATAAGACGTACACTTGTACGTCTTATGTAGGTACATATTCAAACCTCCATATTACGTACAGTTACGTCCACCATTTTGTTTTTCTCATTTATGGTCATTTTGCAATTTGACAAATGATGACGTAGATGTTGGGGTAGTTAGCGAACAAGGGGTGTAATATCCTTGTGCCGAGATTGAGGTAATGTCTTTATGTCTTCTGTGAGGTGGCGAACGACACGTTAGGTTAGAAGCCTGTTAGAAATTTTGTGCAAAAGTTATGTGAAAATTATTTAATAAAGAAAATACAACAACAATTTAGTTAATTAGACCCATCCCTAAAATTTCAGAAGTGGGATAAGCAAAAAAGTTTATGTGTTTTATGTTTCCAGAACACGAGGTTAAAGGTTAGTTCTACTGCAGACCTGCTCTAAGGTTGTTATAGACAGAATATTCCCAATTTAATAATAGCTGGGTTCGGCTATTCAGCGCGGAGTTGGAGTGGAGTGAGCAGAGATAATGGAGTCACCCCTAATACGGTAAAAAGCAATACCCGAACCTTAACCCGAACGGCTGGAGTGCGAATGGAGTCACTCGGAGTGCACGGAGTGCACGGAGTGAGCAAGCCGAACCCACCTTATAATAAATTAAGTTCAGTCAGTTCAGTGAAACAGCTGTTGTGCTAGTAGTGTAGTCAAGTTATCGGAATTTAAATAGGTCCAACTTCTGAAAAAAATATATGTATACAAATGTTTATGAGTGGGAGCATGGAACATACGAATAATATAGCCCTAGATGACATACTAAAAGTCCCGTAGATTCTGACAATTAGGCTCTCCAAACCACGTGATTTTTCAATATGGCGACTGTGGAAAATTTGACGTTCTTTGTTTATCTTGAGTTTATTTAGAATATTTTCAAACTAATTACAGTTTACTTTGTTATAATATACTTTTTGAGGTGCAGAGTGAATATTTAAAGACTTGAATGCAGGAAAATCGGGATCTGGGCGAACGGTTAGTTTGAAAAAATGTCCAGATGGCATTTTGATCCACAGTTCACATTAATGAGCAAATGAAGGCCTACAAAAGCTTAGATTCTTATGAATATTTCGAAAATGGCTTTATTTCAGATACAGGAACAGTGGTAGTGAAAAATTTTCACGTTTTAATTGGAAAATTTTAAAATAAAGGGCAATGAAACCTTGTTGGAACTACTTCCACAATCAACTTCAAGACCCGTTTCTGGCATTTTTAATTGGAAGAAACACTAATGAAGTCAATAAAATAAGAAAATAAACAGAGTTCATTCACAAAACAACCACAAAATGCACTTTAAAAAGCTTTAAATTACATACTCTCATATACGGGATAATGAACTTCCGCCACAACGCACTTTTTGACAGGTCGTTGGAATGCCTAATGGCAAGTTGCAAAAAAGTGGCAGCCAATAGCTTTGTTTGTTTATTTGCACCAATATGGCACTTTCTACTCCAAATGTATTTTAATCCCTATATTTTTGTAAGTCTGATAGAGACTTGAGTGAAGGTGGCACACGCTATCAAAAGCCTTGGCTAGATCTGTGTAAAAGGAGTCGATTTTGTGTCCAGCCTCAACGGAAGTTATAAGGAAGTTCTGATAGATTGCTAGGTTGGATGCAGTTGAATAAGGTAGCAGTTGTATAAGGTGAAGTCCATAGGTTCCGAATATTTCCTCAGTTAAGATTGATTCGAATACTTTTGGGATGGCAGAAAGTATCGATATTCCGTGGTAGTTCTCAACATCGCACCTATCTTCAGACTTGAAAATGAGAAGAAAGAGGGAAAACTTCCACTTTTCAGGAAATTAGCTGAGCAGAACTAAGAGTGAACCAAGCTATGAATGGAGAGCAGAATGTAAATAATTTTAAATAAAAAAGCTTTTCCCAAACCTGATTGGATGATGATGTCGACATTTTTGAGCAGTTCATTGATCAAGAAACTGTTGACTTACTTGTTGAGCAGTCTACAAAATATGCTGTCTTTTTGAATCATCCAGATCCTGAAATTACTTCTGGGGAGATGAAATGCGTCATCGTTATCATAAATAAGTGGGTATCATCAATTGCCTTGAAAATACATGTACTGGAGTATAGAAAAGGATTTGAACGTATCTATTGTATCAGATGCCATGCGAATATATTGTTTTAGGTAGATTCTAAAATATTTACATTGTGCTGATAACACGAAACCTAATAATAATGACAAAATGTGGAAATTACTACTTCTCATGGATAAACGATCTCAGAAAAGGGGTGATTACGTGTTGTCATTGTTGTGAAGTGGCTGGATAATGATGCTGTTAGCGTAACTTCTACCTGTCGTGGAGTAAATCCCACTTCCTTAGTAAAAAAATTCTCTCAGAAGATGAAAAAAATATATACAGGTATTGCGTCTATCGCTTATAACCGAATAAAACCGCGACATAGAAAATATTTCAAGATATCGTATATCCCTCAAAAAAAAAGTGCTGATGTCCTAATTTGTCTAATTGGATTTAAGATTTGCAAAAAAAAATAATAATATCATCCATGTAAACTAAACATATTTTGTTTTGTAAACCTATTAGAACGTTGTCCATTACTCTTTGAAATGTTGCTGGGGCATTTTTTAATCCAAAGGGTATACGGTTAAATTCATAATGTCCATTCTCTACATTAAAAGCTGTTTTACTTATTGAGTTTGGATGCATTTTAACTTGGTGGAATCCAGAGTAGTAAAATAATTACTTCTTCCAAATCTGTCGAGAATGTCTGTTTTATTGGATACTGAGTATCGATCATTTTAGGTCTATAAACCTAGCAGTCCCAAGGTGGAAAAAAAACTTCGGGATCTATATAATAATTAGGTGCTTTTTAGGTGCTAATTAGGGCCTCTAATTAAAAATTAGGTGCTCCTCTAGTTTTTGAGAAAATCAAAAAAAACTAAGGGATTGCTAGGTTTATGAAAGCTAGTAGTCCCCTATAGTAAATAATATTTTTCCAAATTTTTTTTTTTTTTTCAGAATTAGGTGCTTTTTAGGTGCTCTTAAATAGTCGAAGAAAAAATAGAATTGATTAATTATTAACTGAGTTACAGATTTTTTTTTAATTATAAGGGGACTGCTGGTTTTACGTTTACTTGTTGGTGTGTCAGAATGGCAAAAAAGCTTCGGGATCTATATAATAATTAGGTGCTTTTTAGGTGCTCTTAAATAGTCGAAGAAAAAATAGAATTGATTAATTATTAACTGAGTTACAGTGTGGTAAATACATGGTCTGTTAGGCGAAAATGCAGAAACAAATCACCAATAAGTCAGCTGAATTACAGAAGACATTATCTTGAGAAATACAAAACAGTTTCAAAAAGATCAGGAAGGCCATCTATATCTAAAAACAGCGTCACTCTAAACCGGGTGTCTGATGATATTAAATATGATCAGGTTGAGCATTTATTAGTTTCCACTAGGGATAGAAAATAGAAAACATTGTGCTTGTTCCTCAAGCATCCGAACAATGTGTTCTAAATGTAATGAGAGTATATGTATAGACTGTAACTATATTTTTACACAATAAATTGACACGTATGACTGTAGTGGAAAACCAAATTGATAAAAATGATTCAAGAGGGAATCATTGAAGAGTCAAATAGTCCATGGTCTGCGACAATAGTATTGGTTACAAAGAAAGATGGAAGTCTCAGATTTTGTGTGGACTACCGTAAGCTTAATGACGTCACCAAGAAGGACAGCTTTCCTCTCCCAAGGATAGACGATACATTTACAATTCTATCGGGCTCCAAATGGTTTTCCACCTTGGATCTCAAAAGTGGATACTGGCAAGTGGCAATACACAAAGATGACAAAGAGAAAATTGCCTTTAGTACCGGAAGCGGGTTATACCAGTTTAACGTAATGCCTTTCGGATTGTGTAATGCTCCAGCTACGTTTCAGCGACTGATTCATCTTGTTTTGCGAGATTGAGACAAACACTTGCCTCTATTTTTAATGGCTTACAGAGTAGCTGTTCACGAGTCAACAGGTGAATCGTTTTTGGAAGGGAACTCAGGTTACCTTGCGATCTGATGTTTGGAATACCTGAAGAATTACGAAAATAAATTCGAGATTATGCTGACGAAGTATGGGCATGACTTCTGGCGATACATGATTTTGTTCGGGAGCATATCGAGCTGGCCAGTGACCGAATGAAGACCAGATACAACTTGAAAGCTAATTCAGCCGGATTTCAAGAAGGTGATCTGGTGTGACTGACGATCGACCTTGAGAGGAGAGCAGTGTCGCCAAAATCTATTTTAGGTTTATCCAAGTTTAAACTGCCTTCTTCTGGAAATGGTGGAAACGTCAAGACGATATAATGCGAAACAAGTTCAGAACCTTAGTGGACAATGGTCAATTGAAAATTATCAGTGGAGGTTGGGTGATGAACTATGACACTTACCAATTGACCATTGATCAATTCACTTGGGGTTTAAGGCAAGAGTTCACTTAATTTATGTAAAACCTATTTGTAGAATTCTGAATGATACTCTTGGTCAATGCGGCCAACCTACAATAGGATGGCAAATCGACCCGTTTGGTCACAACAGACAACATGCCAGCGCCAGGGTGTACAGGATTAGAGAGCTGATTCTAGATTTTACAGTGCTATTCGGGAAAAAGGGATATCACGGATATATAAAGGCCAGTATTAGTTAGTAGTTTTTAGTTCTAAGATTGGCTGTGATAGGTTTTGGATAGTGAATATTTTAAGAGTTAAGTTGTTTGAGTTAATTAGTGAAGTAATTAGTGTCAGAGTGTATAATAACGTGGAATAAATTAGTGTTACGTTAATTGGACTTTGATTTTGGGACACAAGACTTAATGTCACGCAACCCAGAGCCGTGACAATACTTTGTATACAGAACTCTTTTCTCTCTTTTCAGCAACATTCACCTTCTTCATAGCAGGAATATACCAAGGCTGGCCTAGCCCATCTCTAGTAAAAATCCTCTCAAACGAATATCCCATAGAAGTAACTGAAGAAGAAGCTTCATACATAGCTGTTATCGGATCTATTGGTCACGTATTTGCAGCATTTCTAGCAGCTTCCTTATCTGATTGGATAGGACGCAAAAACACCATACTTTGTATAGCTCTACCCCAAATCGCCTCGTTTAGTCTAATATCGTTCTCTTACCACAGTAAAATCTTGTTATACTTTGCACAAGTTCTTGCAGGTATGGGAGAAGGTGCCAGTTTTGCTGTGGTACCGAGTTATATAGCTGAAATTTCGGAACCTAATATACGAGGGACTCTTGGTACCTATTCAACACTTGCCATGACTTTTGGAACATTATTCATCAACACGATTGGTACAAATACCTATAATTAAACTGCAATTCTATTGAAATAATGTATTTTTCCAGGCACCTACTTATCAATCCCCATGGCCGCCCTAATATGCCACGCATTTCCAATTTTATTTCTGCTTACTTTTAGCAGCATGCCAGAGAGTCCGTATTATTGTTTAATGAAGAATAATTCAAAAGAAGCACACACCAATTTACAAGTAATTATTGTTAATAATTAAAATTATTTTTTTTTCAAAATAAATTTTAGATTTTGCGACGCAGTCAAAACATCACAGAAGAAATCAAGGAAATATCTCAAGCCGTCAAAAGACAAATGTCTGAAAGAGGTACCTTCAAGGATTTATTTATGGTTGATTCCAACAGGAAGGCTTTTATAATAGCTACAGCAGCAAGGATTTTCCAAGCTTACACCGGAGTAGCAGCCATAACAGCTTATACTCAAATAATAATATTGCAAAACACAAATTTTTCTGCTCTATTGGGTTCCACTATGATATTCGCAGGCAAACTAGTGGCAATTATGGTATCATTTACTTATATTGATAGAATTGGTAGAAAACCAATGTTTGCTCTATGTTGCTTGGGATGTGCTCTAATACTCTACGCTCAAGCAATATTCCTGACCATAAAAGATTATACTAATATTAATATGGAATCCATTCTTTGGGTTCCAGTTTTGTTGATACTCTTATGGAATATAGTATTCGCTGGAGGCTTGGCGTCAGGAGTTAATATTTATATAGGGGAAATATTCTCTACAAGCATCAAAGCCAAGGCAATGTCAGCCAGTGGAGTAACTTTTGCCTTAACATTCATGAGCACAGTGAAAATTTTCCAATATACTTCCGATAATATTGGCGCGGCAGTACCCTTTTATATTTTTGCAACCTTCTCCTTAGTAGGTACCATGTATTTGGCTTTCGTTATTCCCGAAACTAAAGGCAAGACTTTGGAAACTATTCAACAGGAATTGAAGGGGAATTTAGAATAAATAAATATTATTTAATCTAAGTGAGTTTATTATTGACGAAAATGGTAGCGCCCATCGGATTTAGATATGCGGAAATAGGCCGTGATGCATTACGAACCGTACACTATGGTAAATTAGATGCAGGAAGGAAACGCAATTATTAGGAGGCTAAGCATAAATTTTATAGAGGGACACTGACTAAATAGACATAGTAGGTTAGAAGTAATGATAGATTTCAGAAGCAGAAATTTCTGATGATTCTTTTTGGATCATTGAATAAGTGTGAGTTTCCATAGTGGTCTACTTTATATAAGTTCATAATGAGAGAACTTTGATAACTTGTCGATCCTAGACTGACTGACAAGGTGCAAAAGTACCGAGATCCGCCTCTAGTTTAATCACCAGCGAGAACTGAGTACCCGTTTGCCATGATCTAACTCGATTTTATAATAATGGTACTTGCACAGATTTAGTAGACCGAACGACTTGTTTGGGAGTCTCTTTGAAGATTTCTACAGAGAGATTGTGTTCAAATGAAGCACCATAATAGATTAGACTGGTACTTATTCCAAAGCTAAGAGTATGTACGGATCTAAGAGTTAAGAAAACGTGAAAAGTGCAGTTTTGGTCATCTGCGCATATGGTCAATAGAACCGTTCATGTCACATTCTATTGTTCCGATCCAATTTGTTCTTTTTTTTTATCACAAGAATTTGGGTTACCTCTACAAGCTCTTTTTCCATTTAGGTACTTTCCATATATAACTCAAATTATATAAGGTGTGTATTCCCTTTTTAACTGGACAGTTCCATCAAGTTCAATTGACTAACGTCCGATTGATATGGAGATATGCCTGAGCGCTTAGGGTGCGACTACATATGTGACAATTCAAACGATAATCGGTCGCCCCTTCCCGAATCATTTTTTCGGTCGTCCGAATTGGGAGTGAACCAGTCACTCGGATACCCTTCAAACCGGAATGCTCAAAGGAAATAAATCGATCACCCGGTAAACCGGAGTCTAAGTCCCTAACGTGATTATGAAGTATAAATATTTATCTATAACATCCCGGAGGTTTTAGTATACGCGGACGAGTGTGGTGTATCAGAGTAGAAGGCTAAATCGCGTTAATGTGTGAACTGAGATTTAGGTAGGAAAAGGTAAGATTATGTTTTTTCAATTTTATTTTATTTTATTTTCTTAGAGTTTCAAATGGTAGTTATATACAGTATATACGTTTAGTTTTTAAAACAATCACTCAGTTTTGGAAACATTACAAAACAATTTTCTAATCTAGAGTTTTTGAGGTAAGACTAAACTATACTGGGGTAGAAGCTATATATACTTTCTAAAATAAAACTAGAGTAGAGTAAAGTAGGGTAGAGTAGAATACGAAAGGTAAACCGCAGGTCAGTTTTTGTACATCAGATTGCGGTTTTATTGGAAATGATGGATGATATCCCCTGACTTTTTTTTGATTATTAGTAAAATTCCCCAAGAGTTTCCCTGATAACATAACTTCTAACTTTCTCTTGAGTTCCTTAAGATTTTCCCTGATTTTCTCTGATTTCCCTATGATTTCCCACGATTGCCACAGATTTTCTTTCGATTTCCCCTAATTTGTACACCAAAAGGGTAACCCAAGGAGATACCTGAGGGGTATACCGCAGGTCAGTTTTAGTGCATTAGATTGCGGTTTTAGGGAAAATCATGGAAGATTTTTCAAGATTTCCCATGATTTCTTCTGATTACCAGTAAGATTGCCCAATACTTTCCCTGATACCTGCGTTAGATCTAGAGATTAACTGATTTCCTTAAGATTTCCTATGATTCCCTTAAGGTATTCCTTGAGTTACTTAACGTTTCCCTTGATTTTGTCTCATTTTCTTATGATTGCCCCGAATTTTCTCGAATTTCCTCTTGCTTTCCCCTAATTTGTCCACCAGATTTCCATTGCGGTTATCCCCTGAAAGCTGAACTGCAGGTCAGTTTTTGTAGGTACACCATATTGCGTTTTTAGAGAAAATTTATGGGTAATTTCTCATGATTCTCTTTGATTTCTTCTGGTTACCAGTGAGATTGTACAATACTTCCCCTGATAACTTGATCTCCAATTATAAAGATTTTTGAAAACTGCGCATGCACTAGATCTAAAAATTGACTGATTTCCTAAAGATTTCCCATAATTTCCTTGAGATTTTCTCTGAGTTCCTTGATTCTCTCATAATGTCCTCTGATTTGTGCTGATTTTAACAAATTTTCTCGAATTTCTTCTTGATTATCTCTAAATTGTTCACCAGATTCCCAATGCGGTTAACCTTTGAGAAGTAAACCGCAGGTCAGTTTTTGTACATCTGATTGGGGTTTTAGGGGTTCCATGAGTTTCCCTGATTTCTTTTGATTATCAGTAAGATTGTCCAAGACTTCCTCTGATAAAAACCTCAAATTATGAAGATTTCCGAAAACTGCGCATGTATTGAATCTAGAAATTAATTCATTTTCTTGAGAATTTCCATAATTCCCTTAGGATGTTCCTTGAGATTTCCTCTGATTTTCTTATGATTCCCTCTGATTTTTCCCTGATTGCCACAGATTTTCTCGGATTTCCTCTTGATTTTTGAATTGTCCATCAAATTTCCCTTGCGGTTAACTTCTGAGAGGTGAACCGCAGGTGAGTTTTTGTACACCAGATTGCGGTTTTATTGGAAATGATGGATGATATCCCCTGACTTTTTTTTTTTTGATTATTATTAAAATTCCCCAAAAGTTTCCCTGATAACATAACTTCTAACTTTCTCCTGAGTTGCTTACGATTTTCCCTGATTTTCTCTGATTTCCTTATGATTTCCCACGATTGCCTCAAATTTTCTTTCGATTTCCCCTAATTTATACACCAAAGGGGTAACCCAAAGAGATACCTGAGGGGTATACCGCAGGCCAGTTTTAGTGCATCAGATTGCGGTTTTAGGGAAAATCATGGATGATTTCCCAAGATTTTCCCTGTTTGTCCTGATTACCAGTAAGACTTTCCCTGATAACTAAACCGCGAATTATAAAGGTTTTTAAAAACTGCGCATGTGTAGTGATTGACTGATTTCCTTATTAAGATTTATTATGATTTCCTAAAGATTTTCCTCGACTTGCTTAAGATTACCCTTGATTTTTTTATGACTTCCTTTGATTTCCTTGTGATTTCCTTAAATTTCCTCGAATTGCCTCTCGATTTCTTCTAATTTGTCCAACAGATTTCCCTTGCAGATAACTCCTGAGAGGTAGACCAAAACTCAGTTTTTGTACACCAGATTTCAGTTTTAGGGGAAATTATGAGTGATTTCCAATGATTCTTCTGGTTATCAGTAAGTTTGCCCAATACTTCCCTGATAACTTTGAGAAATACACATGCGTCAGATCTAGATATTGATGGATTTCCTTAAGATTTTCCATGATTTCTTTAAGATAACCCCTGAGTTCCTTCGCTAGATTTCCTCTTATTTCCTTATGATTTCCTGCCCCATAATTTCCTCGGATTTCCTTTTGATTTCCTTTAATTTGTCTACCAGATTTTTCTTGCAGTTAACCCCTAAAAAGTAGACCGCAGGTCAGTTGTTATACATTAAATTGCGGTTTTAGGGAAAATCATGGATAATTTTCATTAATTTATCCTGACTTTTCATGATTACCAGTAAGATTGCCCAAGATTTTTCCTGATAACCTCAAATTATACAGATTTTTGTAAACGCATACGTTAGTTCTAAAGATTGACTGATTTCCTCAAGATTTCTCATTATTCCCTCAAGATATCCTCTGAGTTCCTTAAGATGTCCGTTGATTTTCTCATGACTTCCCCTGATTGCCCCAGATTTCTTCTCGATTTCCGCTCTATTGTCCATAATCGGATTTCCCTTGGGGTTAATCCCTGAGAGGTAAGCCAGAGATCAGTTTTTTACATTTGATTGCGGTTTTAGGTGAAATTATTGATGATTTTCCATGATTCTTCTGGTAACCAATAAAATTGCCTTAATAACATAACCTCAAATTATAAAGATTTTTGAAAACTACGCATGCATTAGATCTAGAGATTCACGGATTTTCCCAAAATTTCCAATGATTCCCTTAAGATATCCTCCGAATTTCTTAAAATTTTCCCTGATTTCTTCTTATTTCATCATGATTTTTCCTGATTGCCCCAAATTTCCTCGGATTTCCTTTTGATTTTCTCCTAAACTGTCCACCAGATTTTCCTTGCGGTTAATGTCGGTCATGGATAATTTCCAATGATTTCTCCTGATTTTTTCTGTTTACCAGTAAGATTGCCCAAGACTTTCCCTGATAACAGTAGGTAGGATTCGGAAGTTTTGGAGCAAGTCAGAGACGAGACAAAAAGACACTACTCCTACCACTCAAGATACAATCATCCCCTTACTGTGCCCTGTATTCCCCTACCGCTCAAGATACAACCATCCCTCTACCGCGGCCTGTATCCCCCTACCTCTAAAGATAATACACAAAAACATCCCCCTATATTTTATGCTGGTTTTTAGCGGAATTTTGCTGATTTCGTGTGCTGGATTGTGCTAGTTTTGTTCTGGATTTTGCTGGTTTTATACTGGTTTAATGCTGGTTTTCACTGGTTTCGTGTTGGTTTTGTACTGGATTTTGATGGTTTGATGCTGGTTTTCATCGGTTTGGTTCTGGACTTTGCTGGACTCTTCCCCTACCACAAGAGCAAAACCAGTGAAAATCAGCTAAACCAGCATAAAACCAGCAAAATCTAAAACAAAACCATTAAAATTTAGAACAGAACCAGCAAAATTCAGCACACAAAATCAGCAGAATTCAGCCCAAAACTGGCCAAAACCAGCATAAAACATAGGGGGATGGTTGTGTGTAGTATCTTGAGTGACCCGGTAGGGGAGTACAGGCATGGGTAGGGGAATGGTTGTATCTTGAGTGGTATAGAGGGATACAGGGCGCGGTAAAGGGATCGTTGTATCGTGAGTGGTAGGGGAAGTGTCCCTTTG